GTGACCACTGACCCATCCCAGTGACCACTGACCCATCCCAGTGACCCCTGACCCATCCCAGTGACCACTGACCCCATCCCAGTGACCCCTCAGTGACCACTGACCCATCTCAGTGACCACTGACCCCATCCCAGTGACCCCTGACCCCATCCCAGTGACCACTGACCCCATCCCAGTGACCCCTCCGTGACCACTGACCCACTCTGGGACCAGTGACCCCTCAGAGACCACTGACCCATCCCAGTGACCCCTGACCGATCCCACTGACCCCATGCCAGTGACCACTGACCCCATCCCAGTGACCCCTGATCCCATCCCAGTGACCACTGACCCATCCCAGTGACCCCTCAGTGACCACTGACCCCTCCCAGTCACCCCTGGCCCATCCCAGTGACCCCTGACCCCCATCCCAGTGACCCCTCAGTGACCACTGACCCATCCCAGTGACCCCTGACCGATCCCACTGACCCCATCCCAGTGACCACTGACCCCATCCCAGTGACCCCTGACCCCTCCCAGTGACCACTGACCCCATCCCAGTGACCCCTGATCCCATCCCAGTGACCCCTGATCCCATCCCACTGATCCCTCCCAGTGACTCCTGACCCATCCCAGTGACCGCTCAGTGACCACTGACCCATCCCAGTGACCCCTGACCCCCTCCCAGTGACCCCTGACCCCATCCCAGTGACCACTGACCCCTCCCAGTGACCACTGACCCCTCCCAGTGACCCCTCAGTGACCCCTGACCCCATCCCAGTGACCCCAGTGACCCCCCCAGACCTCCCTGACCCCTCTCCTCCCCCCACGCCCCCTCTCCCCTCTCACCATTCCCGGGGTCGATCCCGGAGTTCCCGGGGGAATTTTCGGGGCAGCTTTGGGGGGTCTCGTGGTCTGTCCCGGGTGGGTTTTTGGGGCAAGTTTGGGAGTTTTTGGGGCAGTTTTGGGGGGTCCCGGGGGCGCTCCCCAGCAGCAGCAGCAGCAGCGGCACCGTGAGGACGGCCATGGCGCGGAGGAGGCGGGGCTTATAGAGGGGGCGGGGCCTCCCACAGAGCCTCAGCCAATCCCCACCCGCAGCTCCGCCCCCCTCCACCAATCAGCGCCAAGGGGCGGGGCCAGGCCGAGTTGCCACGTTGCCAGGAGTAGAAAAGAGGCGGGAGCGCCTCACTCAAGATGGCGGCGGGCGGGAAAGGGAGCGGAGCCTGCGCCGCGCTCAAGATGGCGGCAGAGGGTGAGGGCGGAAGTGGGATGGGGCGGGAGCGGAAGTGGCGTCCGGGAGGGCGGAAGTGAAGAGCGGCTGATCGGAAGTCGCCTCATGATGGGGGAGAAGAAAACGTCGGGTGAGCGGGGAGAGGGTCCCGGGCCCGCGGTTTCTGTGGGGTCTCGGTGCAGGTTCGGGGGTCTCGGTGTCGGTTCGGGGGTCCCGGTGTCGATTCGAGGGTCTCGGTGTCTCTTCGGGCGTCCCGGGAGTTTCCGAAGTGTTCCAGTGCCCCTTTCGGGGGTCCCGGTGCCGCTTCGGGAGGCCCAGAGGATTCTGAGGGGGCCCAGAGGATTCTGAGGGGTCCTGATTTTTGGGGAGGGGGGGAATTCCCGTTTTTTTTTGAGGGGCATTCCGGGGTATTTTGGGGGTGTCCTGATTTTTGGGGGTCTCCCCCTGACCCCACTCGCCCCCTCCCCAGCCCGCGTGCCCGAGGGGGCTCCCCGGAGGGTCCTGGACGGGGCCACGCGGCAGCGGCGGCTGCACCGGCAGCTGGAGGCGCTGGAGAACGACAACTTCGGGGATGATCCACAGGCCGGACTGCCCCGGCCCGGCAAGAGACTGCCGCACTTCAGTGACACCGCCGAGACCGGTAC